TAACTTGTTTAAGTAAATTTTAAGTACTAAAATCCATCAAAATGCAGGATTTTGGGTGCCGGACTCCCCCTTACTTGGCTTTGATTATTTTGAGGATTTTTAGGAAAGGGACACTTTCATCTCTGTATTTAGGATAAACAAATGTAGGCTCATGTTAGAATTTGAAGTCATTCTAGAAGAAAAAAAGGGTAATTTAGATTTATTTCTTATTTTGTTACGGTGGTTATGAGGTTGGTCAAATTGATGAACCCCATATAGAGTTAGGGTAGGGGAAAATAACAGATAAAATATGAAGGTTTACTGAAAAAAAAAATTGCAAATTTATTTAGGAGGTTTTTAGAGATTATGCAAATGAAATTTGAGAATTTTCAGATGAAAAGAAAAAGTATTTTTATCCTTAACATAAATCACTTTGCAGTAAGATCAGTCAACATTTTGACTCTATCTATATATTCACAAAGAAATTTTTCATGAAAATACTTCATTAAAAATTCTGATTTTTTTCTGTCTACAAATTACTTTAAATGATTAAAGAAAGCTTCATGAAGATGCACAATCATTATTAGAAGTTGTAGAATGGAAACTCTAAAGGTCAATTTGGGGTCAATTTTTAGTTTGAATTTAAATCGATTGAGTCTGTAGCGAGAGAGTTAAAATCTTTTATTTTTAAATCATTGATGTATCACCAGTTACATCATTTGTTTTGTAATCAATTCTAAATCAATTTCAGTTTTGCTATGTAACAATAAGGGTACCCACCCAATGAAAGAATGGATTATTTTATTTATAATTTTTAATTAATTTTTTTTAAAGTATATAATTTGCTTTAAGCAGAAGTTTCTGGTAATTCTATTCTTCCTTGTTAAACAGTATACATGTACACTGCATTGCCCAAACATTTGTTTATATTTCTTCTCTAATTAACAATGAAATAGTCTTAGTGTTACAGAAGAGAAATTCACTAATGTTTTAGTTAAATGATTTAATGTTGAAAGTCATAAAACATTGTTTTGAAATCATTTTTAAATTTACACATGCAATATCTAGATATATTCAAAAGGTCTAACTATACTATACCTATATATTGCTGTTTTGATCATATCTGAGTTATGAAATAAAGTTTTTACACCAAAATAATAAACAAAATTAACTTGAGACTAAAAGTCTCGTATTACCCCAAGGTTTATCACAAGACAGATAGTATTGAGTTTTTGCTTTCAGTTTGCTACAAATGTATGTAATGGAAGCAAACTATATATTATTTCAGGAAATCAATATTTGGATAAAACTTTCTCTTAAATTAGTAAGAAAAATATTAATTCTGATCTCTCATAGTACCTGATGATGTCCTTAATAAACTTGGATACATTACTATATTTTATGCATTCATTTTCATTTGTTCAGTTTACAGTATCAGTTGTATTATTTAGGCTTTGTTTTGTAAACAGTGAATAGTATTCAGAATGAAAATAGTGTCTGTATGCACTGTATTGTGGGATTTTGTCTTAACTTTAGCAGATACAGGTGCATTGATTTGACATACCTGTATATTCGATAACGAGGAACCCACTTTGAGACTAATAATGGCTGGAGACGGCTTGAATGAGTAATGAAGAAAAACTTTAATATAAGTTTAACATAACAGCAAATGTACAACGTTTCGACGAGGTTTTGTTATCATCGGGGGGGCTAGAAATGCTATATTATGCTCAGAAAAAGTTCAGGAAAACAATATTTAAGCACATAAATGCCACATTAAAAGATTGATGTATGTATTTTTAAAGGTTTACAGTTATCTATCTTTTATGCTACACTTATATGTTTTATAAAGAACCATTAATTTCACAAAGTAAAGACGTTGAGTAGTGATAACTGCCAGTAAAACTGTTAGGTGCAATTACAAAAAGTAACCATCAGTTTTAGTTATATGTAATGAGAGTTTGTAGCTGTTAATGATTCACAAAAGACTTCCATTCATATACTAACATATACATTTTTTTACTTGAAATTTATATTTGTATATGAATTTTAGGACTACCATGTTATTTTAATCCACACACCGCCAGATCAAGGGCCAGCATTAGTGTATGATCTTGACAGCACGTTACCTTTTCCAGTAGACTTCACTAAATATGGTTGTCAAACGTTAAAATCTGACTTTTTATTAAAACCAGAATTTCACAGGTGAGTATATATTACTGTTCATGCTTATTCAGTACTGTGATTAAACATTTGCGTATTTCTATAACATTTTTAACATTGGTGTAATGTAGTATACAGAGAAATTTTTAAGCAAATTATATCAATATTTATTTTTTTTTCCCAATAAATTTGAAATTTTTGTACTACCTAAAGATTTTATGATTCTAATAATATTGTCATAAATAATTACTGTTAGAAAGTAGGAAGGCTATTTTACTCAAACTTTTCTGATGTTTACTTGTTGATGTTTGCATAAACACTATTAAGTAATTTTAATTTGTAATATAAAATAAGATAAATCTTAATTCAACAAGTGTTTAAAGTTTTTATATTTTTGATCATTTTTGTGAACATAAACTTTTTTCATGCTATATGTTTAAATTAAAGTATATTTAGGATAATGAATACACTTTAGGGGTTTCATTACAAAACTGTAATGTTTATAAAAAGAATCCGAAACACTTATTGAAAGTTTTTCAAAGATACAGAAAATTTTTCAAGAGAGTTAATATGAGAAACTTTTCCTTTAAATATTCACTTATATAATAGTGTCAGTCTTTTTTCCTCACATCTTGGAGAAAAACTTCCAGCCATAACTTTGTTTTGCATAACTTGTACTCAAGAAGAGGCATCCAAGAAATATTGAAGGATAATTGACAACAGTTATTCACACTAGTTGCCTTTCATTGCTTCTATTTTCAGCTGAATAGTGGATGATGTCATAATGAACCTTCACTTTTTCTTCTAATTTTGTGATTGGGATTCTTATTTGCATAAAGTATGTATCACATCATGTATTGGAAACTACTGAGAATATGGTCAGTTAAGAAGTTAATAATAAATAACCATTGTCCCCTGCTGAAATGGAACAACTAAACCCTACTTTTGGCAATGCAAAAGAATTCACACACATATGTGTGTACAATTTTGAACTAATATTGTATTTATTTGTATTAAGAGTAAAACTGTAGACACCCCTTCAATTCTTTCTCCTGTATCACAAATGCCTCCAAAAAAACGTTTTGAGACAAACTGCAGATGATCTAAAACTTTTACATTGTTATACTTAATGAAACTCCTGATGGTTATTAAAGTTTAAACAATTTTGTATACAATAAGAAATTTGTTTTAATATTAAAAAATTAAAAACATTCATAATTTTTTAAAGTACATTCATTCTGAATTATTAATGAATATAGTTATTCTTCTGTAAATGTTGTTAATGCCTTCATTGAGATTCTCATAGTCTAAGCTATGTTTTAATAACAGTTAGGAAGTTATGATTCCAAATTATTTCTTTCAGTCTTAATCAAAATAAATTGTGATAACTGTTGAACTCCTCTTACATCACTCATCATTGATACAATATGAATCAACCTTTACCAGCTATTTATGAGTAGTAGTGGTAGGGCATGTAATTCATGACATAAAATAAAACAGACGATTAATTAACGAGTAACTATTCGATCTTTCAGAAGCATCTGTCTGATTGAGTCTTCCAGTTTAATTTTCTAAATTGTGATTTTAAATATAGGATTTAGCCAATTCATATATGTATTGTTTATGAAAATTGATTAATAAGTATTTTTTTAGCTCTGAACAAGATTTGAACTGTTTATAATATCTGTCCAAATTTTGATGATAAAAGTCTTCATTCTTTATTTAAATTTGTTTAAAAATAAATATTCATTACCTACACTTCCTTAGCAGTCAAAAAATAATTCATACCAAAACAGAGAAGGAAATTTTAAACATCAGAAGCCCATGTATTTCTGTATTTCTTTTATAGTTATCTAAACATTTTAACATCAAGTAACAAGCTTTGGAGAAACAATAATAACAGCATCTTTAATGGTTTTTAACCACAATTCAGTACACGTTTTGTTTTGTAAGTAACTGCTGTCATCAACGTCTACAGCTGATTTGGTAATTAAATTGAACCTTTTCTAATGTACTGTAATTCACATAACCCTAAACTTCTGCTCCATGATATAGATGAAATATTTATTAGATTTTGTAAGATAATCCATTTGTTTTATAATCCAAACATCTTTGCTAAATTTATGGGTTTTTTTCTGTTTGCATTGGCAAGCAATTTGTTGTTGTTGGTGTTTTAATGCATAGCTACACAATAGGCTATATACACTCTGTTCTCTATGGGGAATCGACCCCAGATTTTAGCACTGCAAGTCCATAAACTTACTGCTGACCTGTGGGACAGATATTTTGTACTTGCATGTTTGACATAGTAACTGCATAGTTGCTAATGTTATGCTTAAATATTTATGAATTAACACTACTTTTGTAATTTTTCCACTGTGAAACAAACCCTATCAATGAAAAAAAAATACTGGAGATATTCATTTGATATTTATTTTAGGAAGCAAAAGTAAACACTAAAGTTTATTTTGCAAAGTACAGTAGACAGGAAAAGTTTATTTTTACCTGGAGCTCTTCATTTTTAGAATATATTACGTTATTTTATTTTTACTCAAAAATATCATGTTTTTGTATATAAAAGTAAAGACAAAGAATGCCACCAGTAAAGAATACCTCTTTAGTTGATAGGTATATGCACACAGATTTTATGAAGTGATAAGAAAATTAAATTAATAGAAATGGGGAATAGTGAAAATTCTTTTAACCCATAAATATTAATGACTTGAAGTCAACATTTTGTAAACATATTTTAAGTCTCTTTTCAATATATTTTCCAAGGTTTTAAAGTTTTAACTTCTATAACAATTTACCCATATTAGATTCTAATCACTTTAAAATAAAATGTTTTTGATAGAGTGAAGTAGTTTTTTTTTTTCTTTTTAGAAAATTCCGTGTCATTCCTGGTGAAATATTTCTTAACAAGTTTACTTCAGATCGTTCTCGTATGAGAAACCCTGATGGAACATGGATAAAAAAACCTCCACCTTACTCTTGCATTCAAACATCAGGTATGTGATTTGAATACACCAAATGTTTATTCGTTTCCAGCCTGTGTAAATGTGGTACATTATGGAGAACTCATCTCTTATCTAGTAACACGTGGGGTAAAATGCATTTATTGTATTGTGTAGTATAAAATATAAATAGTAAAAACCAAAGTTTATACTTTATCACTCAATAATAAAATGACATTTGACCTCTATTAATTGTTCTTTCTGAGTGAAGATGGTGTGAGCTCAAGTTAAATATCTCTTTTTACAATGAAGAATAAAATATACACATACAGAAGTTAGAAATTGTCCAATGTCTCAAAAAACCACTGGCCATAATTTACAAGTAACTACCAACAGTGAATGAGAAAATTAAGACTAAAAATATACACTAGGTGGTTTGTTTAAAATCTATGAAGAAAAGAAGGACTTTTACATGTGGAAAAAGAAAGGAGGAGTTTGCTTAAGTCATGATTTAACAATTGCTTAGATTTTGCATGACATGCCAGTCTTCAAGAAAGCCTTGTCTAGTAAAGTGACACTGAGCATTTTAATTTTATCTCGGTTAATGTTATGATCGGTCAGAGTTCAAAGAAACACTCAACAACAACAGAAATCATCCTTATTGTAGCAACTCTTCTATTTTCTCCACAAATTTATTTTTGCAATCAATTTAGTATATAACTCCATTTTTTTTCTAATGATAACCTTTAAATTTTAGTAGGGTGGGAGCTAAATACCAATATTTACAGATCTGTAGTGGCAGTACAGTATCTACAGTATGTCAGCCTGTATCAGTTTGGAAAAAGAACGACAACATAAATTTGTAACGTTTCCTTAAAGATTTTGTATATTTTAATATGTTTTCTTTTCATCATTTTCTCCACAATTTTTACACAACTCACAGCTTTACCACCCAGAACTTTACCAACCCAATTATGCAGCATTAAGTCTTGAACATCTAGTTTCTTGACATCTGGAAGTATGAAAATACAAACTCCGTATTAAGAAATGACAGGAGTAGAAGTGATGAAAATATGCCAAGGTTATTTACTGCCAGTTTATTTCACTCTGCACTTTTATCATAATAAAGAACATTTTATAATAAAGGTAAATTTTATGAGTGAAAATTTGCCAAGCTTTAAAGATATGACTGTTATATCCTACTAATGTTTCTTTCTTGACAGCTTTATGTTTTCCATATTACTACATGGAGAAACCATTTAGGCATCATAAAATTCATAGTGTGGTTGTAGTTTACAATAATCAGTCAAAAAAAATGTTTCTTGATAATTGAGTGCCCATTTAGATATAAGTAGTTCTTTGGTCCATTTTTTCCTTCTTTCAAAACGAGCATCAAAGTGTATTGCAATATACTCGTGTCTTCCTTATACTGGCAAACAAAGCTTAAATTTAAAAAATCAACT